TTCTGATTATGCTCAATAGTTTGATCCAGTTTGTCTAAGTCAAGCTGAATCCAGTTTCATCCTTACCCCTTCTTGGATCGTTTTCCTACCTGCCACGACACCCACAGGACCCTTGAATTCACATGCTTTACACAAAGGCCCATTACCTGTGTCTTCAGCAACAGGTCGGCTTTGTGAGACATGCTGGTGATGGTGGGCTTCCGGAAATCTGTGCCCACATACCCTCAGCTGCGTCTACTCTCTCTAGTTTGATCTCCCTCATTCTCTTATGTCCTGCTTTTTAAAAGAGCTGGCAGGCATTCCAGTCTAGAAGCTTCGCTCATTCTCCCATAGCTGATTCTACACAAGTCCAACCTGGCCTCGTTCTTCCTTGCTCCTGCAGGCTGTACCCACAGAAGGTAGTCAGGGATGGGTGCTGCAAAGCAAAGGAGGTGGCCTGTAAGGGACAAAGCATGGCTCTCTTTCAGGTGGCATTGATGAGCTGAACAGTTTCTTGGCAACATCTGGTTATCTATCAGGCATGCCCCTCCTTCTGAGGACAGTGGTTGTTCCTACGTTTGCTCTCCATGGGAGAGAAGAGGGGAGGAATGAGCGAACACCTAGGGAACACGGAGTTAGGTTTCTGGGTGTATTGGATTATGTTGTGGTGGTCAAAGGCCTGCCCCATCGCACCGGCCCTGTCCCTCATTGATATAGTGGCTTAGACAAGGCACCATAACATTGTTTGCAGGTGCAGTTGTGAAGCACTTACCTTAGAACCTGGTCTGGAGTACCAGCCTGTCACATACTATTGTTACACCTATGTCCCCAGCCCTGTGGTGCCCATCTTATAGATAAGAAAATGGAACAGCTTACTGAACAGCGTACACCCCAACTCCTTAACTCCCACAGTAACGGCATTTCTCCCTCCACCAATGGTAGTAGGGACTGAACCTGTGGCCTCATACATGCTAGGCAAACATCATGTATTTCCTTCTCTTAAGTTATTGAGTTATTAGCTTTGAACTCATTCTAGTCCAGGCTGTGCTTGAGCTTGTACTCGCCTACCCCAGTCTCCTGAGTAGCTGGGGTCACAGGTCAGTTCCACCAAGCCGGCCCAGCTAAGGGTCCTTTTCCTACATTGAGCGGCCAAATACACAGTGCATGTGGGCAGTGGTCAGGCCATCAAGGTTTCTCATAACCTCTAGTCTGGCATTATCTCTACTTCTAAGAAGTCCTTAGTGGGCTGCATACGTTTCCTTAACACTGACAGCTTTGCAGGGTAGAGGCAGGAAAGCAACGAGTGGCAGAGCAGCTACTTTCTGGCTGGTCTGGGACGGCAGACTCAGGCATCTCCACAACACTGGAACTTGTAAGAAGAAATCCCTACCTCTCCTTCCCACTCAGCTGTTTGCCAGAGCACTGGGGAGCAGTGAGCCTGTGGTCTCAACACGGGCCAGAATCTAGATGTGGGTTTTCTGGTCATCAGGAGGCAGTGGGTACAGCAAGCCGTCTGTCCGGCATCCAGCAGCCGTCTGTCCGGCAGCATCATTACTCACCAGCTGGGGTCAGGCTGTGACAATTGCTTCCCTTTACTGTAGTTCAACCAATTTAAACTTATCCCTGACTAGCTTACGAATGAGTGAGACTCGGATTATGGTTATTTTATTTGGCTTTGACAATTACTGGGGGGTAACCTCTAATCTACTTTTCTAACTGCTGGCCTGGCTCCCTTCCCAGCAGTGTACCTCAGATACTTGCTGTTTCTCCTGGCCACATGCTCATGGTTCATTTCCCCTCATGGAGGCTTCCTCCTCTCCTCCTGTTCTCCCTCCTTCTCCTCCTGGTTGCTCTTCTCCATCCACAACCAGGTAACTCCAAACCCACCTACCTCTACCCCCTTGAGTCATTGGCTGTGGCCAGTTTTATTTAACCAATAATTCTAAATCAAGGAACAAGGTTTACACAACAAAAGCTTGTAAGTGTGAGAATTCACTTGTAGGAGTAAGACCATCTGGTACAGAATTTAGCATTACAATGTATAGCAACAGATCAAACCTTAACACTTTGTCTGTACAAGAATAAGACAGCCGTGGTACAGACAGTTGTAAATACTACTGGACACACAGGTATTAGCTGCTGGGCTAGCTCCAGTGAACATTACTTAGCGTTGTATTTGTTTGTGTTTCTAGTTGGAGATGATATATTAGCCCTTTTGTTCACCTATTTACCTGCTTAGCCAGCCATCTCCAGGGCTGCTGGACAGACAGACAGCTTTTCAGTGGGTGCAGATGAATGTCTTCCTGGCTCCCAGGACAGAGAAGTGGCTCACAGTGTCATGCTTTCGTTCTCATCTATCTAGTCCCACCTTGCTTTGCCTGCCACCTCCAGAATACCCTATTATGCTGGTCTGGTCAGCACAATGCAGAACTGGGTAAGAGGGCCTTCTAGGTCACTCAGGTGTACAGGCAGAACAGCATCCTGAGGTTTTGTCAGAATCAGCAGCAGCATCACCTTTCCCCAGGCCCAGATGTACATTGGGAATTGTTTCTTGAGACAGTGTACCTTCCTTGGCGTCCTTTACTTTGTGGTATTTTTTCCATTTGGTTGCCTAAGATGGCATAGTGTATCCTAGCAGTTGGGAACACTACTTCAATGGAGATACCCTGGTTCCAACAGCCTTTTATTTGACTAATTATTTTAAAGATTTATCTCATTAAAGTATAGGTATGTGCCATTTTTAAATGTGTGTGTGTGTGTGTTTGCAGGTGGCCATGGAGTCCAAAAGAGGATATCAGATCTCCTCTGGAGCTAGAGATACTGTGAACTGCCTGATACAAGCTCACTCAGGTCTTCTGCAAGAGCAGTACATGATTTTAACTGCTAAAATCTCCAGCAGCCTTTAAAAAATGCTGCCCAGTATGCTCTGGGAGGCAGGTACTCTCTGGAACATTGTGCTGAGGCGTTGTAGGGATTGTAGCTACTTCATAAGCCCCCTCACGCCATTCATTGGGAATTCAGACATTGTGAGTACTTGCTTCTCAAAGACAAGGCCATTACTACTCTTGAGAGAAGGGACTTCTCTCAGGGCAGTGGGATGTTACTGTGGCATGGCATCCATGAGGAGGGACCCAGAGGAGAAGGCAGGGGAGATGAATGAAGCATGAGCAGCAGTCGGAGGTACCCAGCGGATTCTTTCAGTCTTATTCCTATTCTATCTCCCTAGTCCGGGGCATGAGTTCTAATTTAGCCATTCTATTCCCTTTGTGTTTGCCAAATGTGGATGTGCAAAAAGAAAGTCAGAAAGGAAGGCATAGGAAGCCACAAAAGGCCTTCCCAGAGGAGGGGAAAATGCTCACAAAGTTGGCAGACAGGATACCAAAAAGCCATTCTGAGCCTAAGCACAAAAGAAGCTCTGAGGCGAGGCAGCTTTGTCTCCTGGTCACCTGCACTGGTTTCATTCAAACCTGTGTTTGGATGGCTCCGGAGTTCAGGCTAAGTCCTGAGCACTCTGGAGCTGAGGCAGCCCATGGTCAGTGAGAAGGTGAGGTGGCCTTCTTCCCACATTCTCTTGGCTGCTGCCTTAGTATTCGAAATCATGAATAGTCTCAGGTACTGAGCCAAGGCTCTCAGAAAAATGCAACCTCAGCTGCTTCGTCCCCGAGCCTCTCACCCCACCCCCACCCCAAGGTCTCAGCAGATCCCTCTTCTCAGCTCCTGAATGAACCTGCATTTCCTCTGCCCAGCTGGGGCTCTGGCTTCCTGTGTGCTCAGCCTTTACGTCTTCCCGGGACATTTGATGGGCTCAGGAAATTGCACCAGACAGAAGATAGGGCGGCAATCAATTAAAAAAAAAAATAACGTTTCTAAGAAAAATAAATCTAGGCTTCCCACAAGAGTTGTTTGTGTAACATATGCCCTAATGTCCATGGAACAATATATCTAATTTCTATCTCCTTTCTCGCCCCTCCCCATCTTAATAAGAAAGGAAATCGATTTTTAACCTTCTGATTCCCAGCATACTGACGATCCAGGAGCAAAGATTGCCTTTACTTTTAACCCATTCGTCAGATACTACCCTCCCTCTTCTCTGCCCGGCTTCGTTTCTCCCAGCTACTAGTTAGTATATTCACAGTGCATGACTCATGAAGCTGCAGCCTGATTGGATGAAAACCAAGTAGCATTCCTCCCCTCTCCCCCCGCGCCGCCCCAAACGGGTCAGTCAATTACAGCTATTCTCGGCTCCATTCACAGATTTATTAGCTCTCACACAACGAGGGAAATTCATTCGGCAAAGTTCATTCATAAAAATTTCAACAGCCTGGGTATCATCCGCTCAACTCAGCCTTCTGCTGTGCACAGGCTCCTCCTGAAAAAGACTGCAGGAAGGTCCGGGAGGGAAGGGTGCTCTGAGAAGGGGTGGGCCGACGAGATCGGACCCGAGCTGCACAGAGGATGCCCGGACCTCAAGCTGGAGGAACAATGCGGACCAGCGCCCGTCGCTAGGACTCCTGGCTGGTGGCCCAGAACCAAGATCCTCCGAGAAAGGGCAGCCGTCATAACTCCAGCCCATACAGAAGGGCCTTTGACTCTTATGTGCTTTTTTATTTTTCCCTTTGAAATGAACAATCATGGGAACAAATAAAGGGTTAATGGGCTAGTCCCTGCCCCGCCCCGTGGGAGCTGGAGGGGAGCAGGTTTGAAAGTTCTTGTGCGCAGAGGGAAAGGGGGTAAATATTTCTGCTAAGGCTAGAGGCGTGGTGGCACCCGCTGCCCCAGCCTGGGGGACGGGACTCCGGGGCGAGGACACCCCCGCACCACCACCCCCCCCGCGCTCCGGGGACCTCTGCCAGGGCCTGCAATCAGAGCTGGGGAGGCGTCTTCCTGGACTGTCATCCTTGAGCAGCCTGGGACCCGGGCGGGTGACCGCCAGAGCAGAAGTGAGAGGTGACTGTGGTGTGGGTCTATCGGACTGCGAGGCACTTTAGGCTGCGGTGCCCCGTCTCAGCACTGCTAAGGCTATGCGAGAACGCAGCCAGGACAGCCAGGCAGGACTCACGCTGTATGTAGGACTCTTTGGGCACCTGGGGATGCTTCACAGGACCAAGTACAGCCGCTTTCGGAACGAGTCCATCACATCTTTGGACGAAGGGAGCCCCGGAGGCTCGGTTGGAAACAAGGGCGCATCACCGCCTCCCTACCCAGCCCTGGCCCCTCACCTGCCGACTGAAGATGCCACTGTACCCAGCCAGGAGAGCCCCACCGCGCTATGCACCTTGATTCCCCGTATGGCAAGCATGAAGCTGGCCAACCCCATCACTTTTCTGAGTCTGAAAACCTTCTGCTTGGGTACGAAACAGGTGCCTCGGTTGAAGCTCCAAGAGAACCAGGATCAGACTCCAAGCAGCCCAGCGTCCCCAGAAACCAGTCTAAATAGGTCTGGGCCTGCACCTGCACCACAACAGGACCAGGTGGGACGCAGGCCCACCTCCTTGCGTCCTGATTCTTGCCCACTGCCTGGCCCCGGAGAACCAACCCCCAGGAGCAAGCAGGACGGGCCCCCTCTCCAGCACCTGTTGGGGAACGGTCTGAACTACTGTGTGAGGGTAAGTCTCTTAAGGCCTGCTCCCTGAGCACTCACGGGAAGGGCAGCTGGGCTCTCTGCGGGGGCTTTCCTTTAACCTCGCTGGGCTCTAGATTACAAGAAGACATACCGTTGGACCAACCGAAAAAAGAGTTGGCCTTAGAGATTTCCTACAGGGATCTGGCACATACCAGAGTCAGATCCTCTTTGCTCCAAGGGTGTGGGCTGTTGCTAACCCGTAGGCAGCTGTTAATGCAGACATAGCTTCTCTCTCATTGAGACAGACAAAATGGCAACCTCTGGCAACCGGGACATGTGGTATAAGAGGGATTTGACTTGGCTTAATTATTATTATTTTTTTAATTTGACATTTAACAAGCCCTTCCGAAAGTTTAGCAAAGTCCTGAGTATTGTAGCTGGAGCTGGCCTTCGCACTCACTCACACAGTGGGAGAAGGGCCTGATCCAGGTGCTGGGTCTAAAGTCAGGGCCCTCGATGTTGCTGGGTCTGTCTTTGCCCTACCAAGAGCTGAGTAACTAGAGACGCGGCTTCTCAGCGTCTTTTGGAACCCAGATCTCAACTTACACATGTGTGATAGATCACACAAGAGCATTGGTTCAGCAATTGACACATGATGTGAGAATACTCAGGGATACCTGGGATGGGGGTCAGGGGTGTGTGTGGGGGAGGGGATGTAGCTGGGTTCTGAGATTCATGAGAAGGTGTGTTGTGACAATGGCAAATCTCCATGGTAGAAAGGTTGATTACAGACAGGTGCAAAAGTAGGATCAATGTCATTGTGGGGTCTTCGGGGAGCTTGGGGTTTGTCCTGGAGAGGGTGTGGGGAGGCTGAGGTGATGGCTACCACACAGTCCTCAGGAACTGAACAAGTTAGAACAAGGAAGAAAGGGAGGTCGTCAAAGCTCTTCAAGGGCCAAATGAAGTGTCTGTAAACACTGGTGAGGAAGATCCTCCGAGGTTCCCAGGCATATCGTGAATGTAGGTTTTAAAGATTCACCTGAGGCTTTATTTAACTTGTGCTGAAGCAGGAAGAAATCCCTGAGGCCAGTGAGAATGTTTCCTGTTTTTCACCGAGGGCATAGCTGAGTTAGGATGAAGACTAGAGAATGAAGAGTAACTTCCAAAGTTATCATCCTGGATGAGACCCAGGATGCCAGAGTCAGTGGAATAAATTGGGAAGGGAACTCTTAAGTTTGCACTTGACTTCTCAGATAACAACAATGCTATCTAGAGGTGCTGGTGTACAGGTCTCATCAGCCCAGCACTGATTGAGCCTAAAAAGTCAGAGCTGAAGGCAGAAGAGCGGGTGACTGCATTTTACACTGACAGCATCAGGCTCACGGGCGACTTGAGGGATGCTGGAAGGATTGCAGAGAGAACAGGCTTGGAGCAGACTCGGTAAATCGATGCATACCATCCCTAAGGACGATAAGCATGTTGAGCCCAGCTCCTGATCTCCACAGCAAGTAGCGCACTGTGGCCAGGCTTGTATGTGTTGGTGGGAAGTCCAGAATCCCAGTACACTTGTCAGGCTGTAGGGTGCCAACCTGTTATGGTTTGGAGTGACTCCCAAACCTGGGCTCTTGGCACGTGCCTATCACCTTCAGGTTCCTACCTTCGGCCCCGCCTTTCCTTCTGTCCTGTACCCTTGCTGGCTCCTCACACTCACCCACCTTGTATAATTTTAAGTGTTACTGGGTGATGTCCATTTCCCCTGGGAGGTTCCCTTACCAGTGTTTCTGGGTTTTTAATGAGGACACCAGCTGTCCTCTCACAGTGGTAATATCTTACCCCAGGAGAAATGCTGACCTCATAACCCACATGAACTCACAATTTTGTTATAATATTGTGATGTACATCTCTGGTTTTAGCTGCCTTTCTCACAAAACCTAAAATATCTCAATACTTATAGATCCTAACTTGAAAGACAAAACGGTTTCATTTGTCATGTTATCAAGTTAAAATGTCTCAGAGACATCCCAGGGGCGTAATTTTTCAACTCAAAAAGCAGAGCAAGATCTGGACTCAAGTCTCCTATGAACCATTCTTAGCTCTCTTCCCCACAGGGTTCCACCCTGGCTGGCATTCTGTCCTTGAGAATTCTATTGGGATGTGAACCAATTTTTAAAAACAAAGAACCAGCCTCTTAATTTTTCATTGAAAAATATTGTGCTGAGAAAGACACAGCATGGTTGTGCTGTGCTCTTGTCTATAGCAGCAAGCACATGGAGAACTCGAGGAGAGTGATAGATCAGGTCGGGGGTCAAGCAGTGTCCTAATGACAAGTGGGCACTGGCCAGTGAGAACTTAGGTACAACAGTTGTAGGTGGAGGAGCCCCCACATTCCATTGTCTTTTCCGCATATGTGAGCACTGCTGTCTACTCCCAGTCAGTCATTTGTCTGACCTACACATACCGTGAACCAATCACATTGTAGGATCTGTCGTAGAAGCTGGATGTTTGTCAGTGGAATAGACTAAACCTAAACATCAGAAATGATCTTGTCCCTGTGGAAGTCAGTGTCCGTTTCAAATGTTAGTGATGTCATAGAGATGTGACAGCAGAGTCAACGGAGAGGCAGTGACTTGGTGGAAAGGGCTGGATCCTTGGGGTGAGAATCAACATTGTGATGATGTCTTCATTCATTGCAACAGAGACTCTGTTTTCCATCTACCCTAAGTTAGAGTTGGCTTTGGGTTAAACAAGTTTTTAAAAAAGTGATTCTTCTTGTGGTCTCACGATGTAGAATTAGTAATGCTATCAAAACTTTTCTATTGTTCCTAAATGCTTTTTTTTTTTTATTTTGGAGCATTTGTTTAAGCTCAGATTTTGATTCTCTTGGAAGTTTCTCAGGGGAGGTGGCCTAACGACCTATTGTTTGTGAGATCCCATACTAGGAATGGGACAACTGGTCTGGGTAAAGTACTGGAGTGGGTGAAGTTCATGCATAGTGTGAAACAGTGACTTTTGTCCTGGCCATAAGACAAAGGTCTCATGTCTGAGGCCTTCACAAGGTATAACAGATACTCATGTTGACCTTCAAGGTGTCCAGAACAATCCAAGGTTCCCATCCAGGTCTGCCTCACTCACATCCCTTCTCTTCTCATTAGACACCCCCCCCCCCCCAAGACACTGCCTAGAAGCTTCCTGATGGAGAAGGTAGATGGAAAGCTCTCTTCCAGGATTGGCTCATACACCTGGCCAGGCTGCACTTCTACACGATCATAGACTACTCACTTAGCCTCTCCTAAGCATCGCCCCAGACTGGCATCCCAGGGCTCCTATGGAAAGTGCCACACAATGGGTGGTTTATGCAGCAGGACTTTACTAGAGTTAAGGGATCAAGAAGGGGGCTGGAGAAATGGCTCAGAGGTTAAGAGGGTGTCTGCTCTTCCAGAGAAGCCATATTTAATTTCTAACACCCACATAGCAGCTTACAACTGTCTGGTACTCCATGGATCCAATACCCTTATACAGATATACATGCAGACAAAACACAAATACACATAAAAACAAACAAACAAAAAAAGGAGTCAAAAGGCCCCAAGTGAAAAAACGTTAGAAGGGCCAGCTCTCTACCAAAGGTCTGTGAGAGTAATCCTTCCTCGCCTCTTACAGCTTCTGATGGCTGCCAACAGTTCTTGTTTTTTTCTGGTGCCACTACTCAATCACACAGCATTCTGCCTGGTGTCCATGGCCAAATTATCTCCTACATGGACAGGAATCGCTGGCTTAAACCTGTTCCAATCAGAGGCCCTCATCCTAAGTATATGTCTGCTCACACAGGCCTTCTTGTGTTCAGCAGCTGTGCATGGGTTGGGGGTTTCTTCCTGTCCTTTGTAAATATAATTTCCTCCTGCAAGATATTCACAAGGAGTATGGCCTTCTCCTTCCCCAATATGTTCCCTTTATAAGGATATATCTGGTTCATGAGCCAATAAGCTACCACTCTGAATCTTCTTTGTCTGAACTGGATATAGTCTACCATACTACATAGGAACTTACAGTTTCATCTTTATGGGAGAGCCTAGGACTAGGAGTTACACAAAGGGTGGTGCTCCCATCTCTCAGTTACACAAAGGGTGGTGCTCCCATCTCCCAGTATCTGTGATTAGTGGCTCCAGGTCTCCTTTAAGCAATGGCTCTGATATTAACTGATTACATGACCTTGGGTGAGTCACTTCACTTACACACACACACACACACCCCAATGAGGGGCTTTATTTGCCCTTGTTTAAAACCAGAAGTTGGAACCGAATGCAGTCTTGGAGCTTGAGTCCAGGGCTCCCTTTGCATGTACCTCTATTATCAGGATCTCAGTTAGTACTGCTTCCTGGAGGACATTATTTGTAGCTTCTTGGTGGCCAGTAGAAGGAATGACCTCAGGGACACACTGGGTGATACTTGTCTCTTGCTGTGTGGCCCTTAACTGGCTGCCACCATTGAGGCAGGAAAAGTTTCTTATGCTTGAGTGGATCTGGTGAGTGTAAGGATAGGGGTGGGATGGCAGGAGTAGGGTAGGTGGTGCAGGACATTGCGTATGTGAAGTGGTTTCTCTTTAGATGCTCACACATCCCTTGACCTCTCCAGCTCTTTCAGTCCACTGGACAGTAGGGCAAAGCGTTACAGAGCTCAGTTAGGCTAAGCCCTGACTCAGCAAACCACACATCTCCTCAGTGCTGAAGTCCATATGACCGGGTAACACTCTTGTTTCCTAACCTCAGCTCATGTCTCCTAGCTGGCTCCTGTTGAATATGCTGGGTAGCCCTGCCTGGTTAAGACGGGGTGGGTGTACTTTCAAAAGATAAAAATGAAAACCTTTTTGTTATAGGAGATTTGTCTTAAAATCGTAGTCAGATAGTAAAGGAGAGTGGCAGAGAGCCTGCATTAGCATGTTTGCCGTTGCTGTAACAATTGTCCAGTGGAGGAATAATTTATTAAAAAAAAAAAAAGAGGTTGACTTAACTCACAGCTTTGGAGGCTCAAGTCCAGGACTGGACA